AAGATTTGTGCACTATTCTGTATGTATGTTATAATGCAACAGTTTTTAAAATTCACCAAAAAAAATCAACTGCCTGTATGTAAGTAATAACAGAATTTTTATTACATGTAATGAGAAGCTTCCCTACATGTAAGAAAACAGAAAAAACTGAGTATGTCACTGGAAAAAAACTGAGAAGATTGGAGTTCAGGATGAAGTAGGAGTTGCATTTCACTTTATACCATTTGAACTATTTTAATTTAGCTATTAGCATTTTTTACTTTTTAATTTTTTCACTATTATTTTTAAGTAAAAGCAAAAAGGATGCATTAGAACATAAAACCAGTCAGAAAATTCAATAGCACTGAACACAAAGTTCTTTACAGCACTAAACACTAATGACTATGTGTGACAGTGGATTAGCAGTTAAGACACTACTGAAGATGCCCAGGTATAATACTGGAGCACCTGAATTTCAGTCCTAGCTCTGCTCCATTTCCAGCTTTCTGTTAACACAGACCCTGACAGGCAGGGGTGATAGCTCAAGTAGTTGGCTCCTGTCACCCATGTGAGAAACCTGCATTGATTTCCCAGCTCCCATTCAGCCTGGTGCAGCCTGGCCTTTGTGGGCATTTGGGGAGTGAATAAGCAGATGGGAGATGCATGGATCTCCCCTTCTCCCTCTCCCCCTTCATCCCTCCCTCTAATAAATTAATCAAAAATAAGAGGAAGAAACTAGGGTTCAAATAAATAATGCAGAAATCTACAGAGGCATAAACTACCGGTAGAATGTGATGACACCGGTACTCTGAAGTTTAAAGAATCCACAGATAGGAAACTAATTGTTAAACATATAACATAACTCATTTCATACATCTGTCTATAATGTCCATTACTCAAGAAAATGCAGAAGATGGGTTTTCTTTTTTATTCCTATTATTTCATGAAACAGACAATCACTTCTGTTCCTCATACTATTTTTAAGAGCTTCAAATGGCTAAATTTCAGTTACCAAATAGAGTCTTATAGATTGGGATTTCCACTTAAGAAATTTCTACAAGAATGTGTATAGATTGGGATTTCCACTTAAGAAATTTCTACAAGAATGCGTTTTGATTTTCAAATACACAACGTAAAAACTTTTGAATATATTTGCTAGTTGGTGAATGACTATATTACTGTCAATTATGGATATCAAAAGGGAATAAACTAGTTTATCAAAAAGAGAGACTAGGGACCAGAGTTGTTGCACAATGGGTAAAGCCGCTGCCTACAATGCCGGCATCCCAAATGGGTACCAGTTTGTGTCCCGGCTACTCCAGTTCTCATCCAGTTCCCTGACAATAGCCTGAAAAAAGCAACAGCAGATCACCCAAGTGTTTGAGACCCTGCTACCCAAGCATGAGACCTGGAAAAAGTTCCTGACTCCTGGCTTTGGCCTGGCCCAGCCCTGGCCATTGCAGCCATCTGGGGAGTCAACCAGTTGATGGAAGATTTCTCATGCTGTGACTCTTTCAAATAAATATATAAACCTTCAAGGTAAAAAAAAAAAAAAAAAATGAGTAAAAGAAACTACAGGTTGACTTAAATGCAATAATTAGGGCTATTCAAAATTAGACTCACTTGGAAAACAGAATTTTTCATCCTAACAATTTTAGGTGGGGCTTGATAATTGATTAGACAAAAATAAATACAAGAGTCAAGATGTGTTCCAGCCTGTATAAATGAAGACCTGCCTGGAAAAAAGGCATGACTGTTATAGAAGAACTCTGATCCCACTACTGGGTACAGATCAAAAGACATGAGTACACTGTATCACAGAGCTATCTGCACCACCATGTTTGCAGTCCTGTTCACAATACCTAAAATACACAATCAAGGTGTCTAACATCAGATTAAAGGGTAAGGAAAATGTGGTATATACAAACACAATGGACTATTACTCAGCTATAAAAAAGAATGAAATTGTATCATTTGCATAAAAATGGTTGCAACTGGAGGATATCACTTTGAATGAAATAAGCCAGACACAGAAAGGCAAATACCACATGTTCTCCTTTACATATGGGAGTTAAATTTGGGGAAAAAAGAAAAAAAGGTAAATAAGAAAAAGAGATGCCTATAACAGTATTACTGCAAATATAGTTTTGTCAAATGCTTCATATCTTTGTCAAATTGTTAAGAATGATATACTACTATAGCTTTAATCATCTGTGATTATTTTAAAATTTACTGTAAATGAATGAAATTGACATCTCTGAACAATTACTAATTATAGCTCTTTCCCATATTCTTGCTGAACTACATTCTTTTTACACTTTACTTGTTGAACTCTTAATGCAGCCTTTGACTTTAATGTAAATTAAAAATGTTATCACAAAATATTTGCTATGAAAAATAAAATAGGTCCTTTATAATGCCAAAATAAAATTTTAAAAAACAAAGAAATTTGGCAGTATTGTTTGAGTTTTTTTCTCGAAGAAGGGGATATTATGGGAGTTTGGTTGCTTGTAGTAATGAAATCAATTTGTTAGTGTAAAATGTTTTTATGGAACTTGACATAAATGGCAATCTTTATAAACACAATTTCAATGAGGATGTCAGAAGGAAAACCAGGCTAAGAGATTGAGAAATTGACAACTTGAGCTTTTTATTTTTAATACCACTCATTCCATAAAAGTTTAAAGGCAGTTTACAAAAAAACAAAAGAACAGCAGAACAGCAGACCAAAAGCCAGGATAAGATCAGCATACAGAAATGTAAACTCTATATCCAGCGTGGCTCTAAAAAGCGTACAAATTCTGAGCCTAAGCTTCCAAAGAGCCAAGGCAAACAAAGGATAATCAATAACAGGAGTCACATTATTCATTAAAAAAAAAGGTTGGACATGCAGAAGTATGACTTTTCCAAAATCTAAAATGGGAGAAAACTTCTTTCATGATTCTTTAGAAAGACAGTGCTGTATCATAAAATGGAAGCCCTCCAAACATAAAATCCCTACCGCATTTCACAGGACTGTTTCATTCTACATCCCTAATGCAAGTCAGTTGTATCCTCAAGTAATTTATACAACAGACCAAAATAAAGCAATTCAGTTTTAAAATCCAATTTAGAAAACATAAAAAATAACTGGATTATACAGACTTTATGCAGTCCATCTACAGTTTAACACTATTATTTGCAATCATGAGTTCAGTGCACTTTTAACAGCTGACAACTGAATTTGTAGTAGTGGCAAAAACCAAGTACATAAATACTCAGGGCTCCTTAGTACCGATCCACACACTTTGACTATTACCCAGGAAAACAGTAAGGTCAAAAAGTACTCATAGGCCGGTGCCGCGGCTCACTAGGCTAATCCTCCACATGCGGCACCAGCACCCCGGGTTCTAGTCCCAGTTGGGGCGCTGGTTCTGTCCCGGTTGCTCCTCTTCCAGGCAAGCTCTCTGCTGTGGCCCGGGAAGGCAGTGGAGGATGGCCCAAGTGCTTGGGCACCTGCACCCGCATGGGAGACCAGGAGGAAGCACCTGGCTCCTGGCTTCGGATTGGCACAGCGCACTGGCTGTAGCGGCCATTTGGGGGGGGTGAACCAACGTAAGGAAGACCTTTCTCTCTGTCTCTCTCTCTCACTGTCTAACTCTGCCCGTTAAAAAAAAAAAAAAAGAAAGAAACAAACAAAGAAACAAACAAAGAAACAAACAAAGAAACAAAGAAGTACTCATAAAAAACTTAAGAATTCTAACCAAAGTACATGCCAGGACGAATGGCCAAGCCATCTCTTCACAGAGATGCACCTATAAAGGTATGACCCACTCACTATAATTAATGGTAAAAGGAAACAATGACCTCTGGATAAAAGGAGGAATGGCTGTAAATCAATGGCCTATGGGGAATAAACAGGGAAGAAGGGATACGGGCATTCTTTCTCTGATAATCACACTGCATTTGTGTCCCCTCCAGACACAAAGCATAAGCTGGGACTCTATAATATGGTTTTGTCTCTAGTTTTTCTTCACCTACTAATGTAAAGTATATTAAAGAACATATATTTTTTTAATTTAAGATATGTTCATTTGCTTTTACAAGGCTTTTTTTCTAGTTTTCGTAGCTTTTGTAATTCTTCTTAGGTTGGCTGTCAAAGAGCAAATCATAAAATAACTAAAATAAAAAATAAACAGTTGAACAATAAAATGTTTTAAACATACTCAGAAAAATTTACCAGTAGAAAACTCACATTCTTCCTACATGGTAACGAAAAATGAGCCTTTATCTAAGTAACAGATACAATCTAACCTCAAATAATAAATGAATACTACAATACAACTGACAGTGGTAAAAAGTTACAGGAATTAAACTAGCATATTTTTACTGCTGCTTTAGGTCAAAATAGAAAGATGGTACTACACCTAATAAAATGTGCTTCAAAGTATCTGCATTAGGAAGGGAGCTAAATTCAGCAACTGAATATCAACCAAATCATCAATTTTTTCCAGGTGGCTTATGGATGAAATTTTAACAACCACATAACCATTTAGTGAACTTCTTTACACAACCTTTTTTTCCAAAGGAAGCCAGAGGATTCTTTCAAACTCTGGTTGCTAAAATTCACTTCTCAAATCACAAAAGCACTTAAAGTGCTATATACTAAATTTAGGCAGGCCAAATTGCTTATTAACCAAAACTACCTACATATATACATCAAAAATATAATTTTTTTCATTCTCTTTCACATTTCTAGGCATCACTTTTCAGACACTGAATAATTTAGTAACATTCAGAATAATGTTATATGATCAGTGAAAATATCTATTATGGTAACATCTTACTATGTACATAAAAATGTCAGTTTTTACAAATTATGCTTAGCATTTTACTTTGTAGGTCAACTGTTTATGATATCCCTCTCTGACTCACAGTAACAGTAAGGATCAGATATTCTAACAACAAATCACTAAGTAAAAACAGATGTAAAACAAAATGATAAACTGGAAGTGTACTGAACTGAAATTAACTAGACATACTTATCCCAACCAAGAGTTCCTATCTCTTCAATAAGGCTTGAATAGAACTGGGGAGGTGAAGTTAGCACAGGTATCTCCTGAGAATTCTTTAAAGCAACTCCCTGTTTAAAAGGAAAAACAAAAAACGAGTCAGCTGTGGAATGCTACACAATGAATTATTAGAACCAAATACAGAACACAATTTCATTATCTTCTTAGTGCCTAACTAAAGTGTCCATTATTTTTATAGAAAATCTAGCTGACTTTATGCCCCTTCTCAAGAAAAGTAAAAGGACTGCACTGAAGGTCATGCAAAATGTCAATTTTTATAACACACAAAGATTGTAAGATTTTAATATTTATTCTCCAGGACTATAATGCCTATTAAAGATGGGGGGGCAGAAATCTCATCTTCAAGCCTTCACTTTCAACTCCTGTGGAGATGATGCTTGACATATCTATGCAATTTTTTAAAAAGTGCTTTTAAAGAAAAGTTTGAAGCCTAACTACACTGCCCATACTATTTGTATACCATTATTAACCATATCCTAGCAAACAAAACCACTTGTTGTCACAATAAGCATCTATCTGCTAATTTGTTTCACTTCTAAGTCATCCAATATTTTCCCATCCATCTAGAGTCCCTGTCCTTGCGAATCCCACCTGTGATGTTGTTAAAATGGCTCCCACAATCAAAACTAAATTTTACTTTTAAAAACATTGATGTCACTAGAACTAATGAGGCTGAAAAATACCAATAACTTCAAAGTTATTAACCTAGACAAGTATCTTATTTGGAAAGTAAAAATAAATGTTTCTACAGATTACTCAGATGTTCATATGATCTGCATTATCAAAACCTATTGCAAGTTGGGCATCCTTAATCCAAAAATACAATATTCAAAATGCTACACAATTTGAAAATTTTTGAATGTTAACATGATATCAGCAGTGCAAAATTCCACACTGTGAAACTTCGTTTCATGCACAAAATTACTAAAATATATTCTGTAAGAGCAGGCATTTGTCCTACCTAGCAATTAAAACACCCACATCCCATATTGGGGTACTTATTCAACACCCAGCTCAACTCCAGCTTCTTCCTAATGTACATCTTGGGAAGCAATGGCAATACCTCAAGTAAATGGATTCCTGCCATTTTCATGAGAGATCTGGATTGAGTTCCCAGCTCCTACTTTACCCAGGCCCAGCTCCAGCTGTTACAAGCATTTAGAGTCAACCAGTGAATGGAAGCTCTCTGTTACTGTCTCTGCCTCTCGAATAAATAAATTTTAAAATTACCCAGAAATATAGTTGAATCCCACAACAGCTGGGACTGAGCCAGGCCAGAGCTGGCAGCCAGGAACTCAATCCAGGTATCCCAAATAGGTGGCAGGGATTCAATTATTTGAACTATCATCTGGTTCTTCCTAGGGTCTGCATTACCAGGAAGCTGTGTAATTGGCAGCTGGAGCCTGAACTCAGGCACTTCAATATGATAGGTGGGAATCTTCACTCCCACTCCATGCGTAAGAGCACAGTGGGTGAAGGAAGACAAGGAATACACTTTCCACAGAGGAGGAAGAAACTGTGCACACTAGAAAGGGTCATTTCACAAAGAAAAGTTTCAAATCCTGACTTTTAATATTTTCAACTTATGAGATCTTGAGCTCTCAGTGGCTCAGCTCTAAGAAATAAAACAAGCTACTTCATGGATTATTTTAAAGTATAATTATTTGGCAGGCGCCGTGGCTCACTAGGCTAATCCTCCGCCTTGTGGCGCCGGCACACCAGGTTCTAGTTCCGGTCGGGGCGCCGGATTCTGTCCAGGTTGCCCCTCTTCCAGGCCAGCTCTCTGCTGTGGCCAGGGAGGGCAGTGGAGGATGGCCCAAGTACTTGGGCCCTGCACCTGCATGGGAGACCAGGGGGAAGCACCTGGCTGACTTTGGATCAGCGCGGTGCACGGGCCGCACCACGCCGCCCATGGCAGCCATTGGAGGTGAACCAACGGCAAAGGAAGACCTTTCTCTCTGTCTCTCTCTCACTGTCCACTCTGTCAAAAAATAAAAAATAAAAAAGTATAATTATTTATTAAATAGGTAATGAACTATTAAGTTTCCTAGTAATAACTAGGAATAAACAGATTTACAAAATTTCATTACAGTATCCTCCTCAAAACTGTCTCTAGTGATGACATTGCAGGAAGCCAATTTCTAACAACATAGGCTAAAAAATAAATTAATGATTCTTACATTTTCAGGTACACCACATCCAATGAGCTATAAAATCATCAACTTTCTCCAGTTTATGAAAATTCAAACATAGAATCTTATTCAGAAATACAAATGTATTGAATAATATAAATCAGAGATGTTAACATTTTAGTTTACAACTAGTATTTCTTCAAAAGTAAATGGAGTAATAACTTAAAATCTAATAAAGTTAATCTCAGTAATAAGAGCTTAATAAAACATGGTATATATAGTTTTACTCTGGTTCCCTTAGTCCTCAGTTGGTATAACTTATTAGAAATAAAAAGATGAGACATTTTCCTACAATAACAAGGGAATTTAAACCAAATACGCTCCATTTCTTCACCTTACCTTTTTTAAAATTTCTTGCACCATGGCCTTTGAAAAAATTAATAGTTTTGAGAACTCTTGTTAATTAGGGGTCATAAAGTCATAAATCAATATTTAAACTTCAGAAATTGATTTTAAACTCTTTACTCACATCCCATTTTATCACAGCCCTACCTCAGAAGGTTGTTACAAGAATTTAAAAAAGACAAAAATAAACTTTCTAGCAACAGGTTTCTCAGTAAACAGTCACTGATACTGAGAATAAAAGGTCTCAAAAACAACCATGGGAAATATCAAACTGCTTTCAGTTGTCAGTGGCAGTAGCAGCAGTTATTTTTATGTGAACAAGTGTAAATACAGATATAGCAAAGGCCTAGTAAAGAATAACAAAAAACATAATATCACTGGAAATAAACATTTTCAGAGAAAAAGCAGAATATTTATAATGCCCAATTTGAGCTGTAAATATCAATATGAATGACAATTAATTACACTCACTTTTTTTTTTTTTTTTTGACAGGCAGAGACAGACAGTGAGAGACAGAGAGAAAGGTCTTCCTTTTCTGCTGGTTCACACCCCAAGTGGCTGCTACGGCAGGTGTGTTGCGGCCAGCGCACTTCGCCAATCCGAAACCAGGAGCCAGGTGCCTCCTCCTGGTCTCCCATGCCGGTGCAGGACCCAAGCACTTGGGCCATCCTCTACTGCCTTCCCGGGCCACAGCAGAAAGCTGGACTGGAAGAGGAGCAACCAGGACAGAATCCGGCGCCCTGACCAGGACTAGAACCTGAGGTGCCGGTGCCGCAGGTGGAGAATTAGCCTAGTGAGCCATGGCGCCAGCCAGAAAGAATACTTAGAATGAGTGTAATGGGCCAGCGCCGCAGCTCACTTGGCTAATCCTCTGCCTGCAGCGCTGGCACCCCGGGTTCTAGTCTTGGTAGGGGCACCGGATTCTGTCCTGGTTGCTCCTCTTCCAGTCCAGCTCTCTGCTCTCGCCCAGGAGGGCAGTAGAGGATGGCCCAAGTGCTTGGGCCCTGCACCTGCATGGGAGACCAGGAGAGGCACTTGGCTCCTGGCTTTGGATCAGAGCAGTGCGCTGGCCGTGGCAGCCATTTGGGGGGTGAACCAACGAAGGAAAACCTTTCTCTCTGTCTCTCTCTCACTGTCTAACTCTGCCTGTCCAAAAAAAAAAAGAAAAAAGAAAAAAAAAGAACTTGGGGCGGCCACAGGCACAGTGGTTAAGATGTCACTTAAGATACCCACATCACACTTGGGAACACCTAGGTACAGTACTGGCTCTACTTCCTATTCCTACATTTCTGCTAATCCTCATTCCAGGTGGCAGCAAGAAATGGCTCAAATATTGGGGTCCCTAACACCCATTCAAATAAGAGATCTAGAATGAGTCTGGGCTCTCGGCTTTGGCCTGCACAACCCTGGCTGTTGCAACCATGTGGGGAGTGAACCAGTAGATGCAACATCTCTGTCTCTGAACCTCCGCCTTTCAAATACTAATAATTAGGAAAGAAAAAAAAAAACACTCAGGAACCAACACGAAAGGGCTTATATAGCCCAAATTGAGATAATTTAAGCATCAAAAAAAAAAAAAAAAAAAAAGGAGTGCAAAGGATTAAAGTTAATCAGTTCATAATGATACTGAAGTATTTAGTTCCCTGTGACAGTTGCTAGGCACCAACTCATTATTCTAAAAACTGATGTTTAAAAAAAGAAAAAAGCACTTATCCTATCTCTACTTACCCTATCTCTTTAGTATGAGCTGTATCTCAAATTAACCAAAAAAAAAAAAAAATCAATGAAAAGTACACTAGAGATTTCCACATAGTAAATGCAGATGATGGAATTTTTTAAAATCACCATTTATAAAATCACCAGGTGATAGGCTGATGAAAAACTTTACATTACCTGCCTCTACAGCTATTGGTCAATTTTAACTTTACTATGCTGAACCATTAACATCACGTGCCTCCTAACATTGTTAGTACAGAACACCAAGTATTCTCATCAGAGTAAGCAAATCCAATTCAGCAGCAACCTCTAGATCCAATGGTGAAACAAATAGAGGTCGAGTATCACTTATCCAGAATGTTTGCAACCAGAATGTTTTGAATTTAAGATTTTGGGTTATTCGCGGGTGTATATATTTGATGAATTACCCTGAAGATGGGACCCAAGTCTAAACTCAAAATTCATTTGTTTCATATAATTTTTATACATATAATATGCCTCAAGGAAATTATAAACAATATTTTAAATAAATTTAATTTGGGCCGGTGCCGTGGCGCACTAGGTTAATCCTCCACCTGCGCCACAGGCATCCCATATGGGTGCTGGGTTCTAGTCCCAGCTGCTCCTCCTCCAGTTCAGCTCTCTGTTGAGGCCAAGGAGGACACTGGAGGATGGCCCAAGTGCTTGGGCCCCTGCACCCGCATGGGAGACCAGGAAAAAGCACCTGGCTCCTGGCTTTGGATCAGTTCAGCGAGCCGGCTGAAACACACCGGCTGTAGCAGCCATTTGGGGGATGAACCAACGGAAGGAAGACCTTTCTCTCTTATTCTCTCACTGTAACTCTGTCAAATAAACAAGAAAAAAAATCTAAAAAAATAAATTTGTTTAACATTATAACAAGTATATACATAATTATACATAAATTATGTATATACACAATTATATATACACAATTGTATCTATAATTATACATAATTATGTTATTATATATATATAACAATTATATAATTATATATCAATATAAGCTTTGGGGGCCGGCGCTGTGGTGTAGCAGGTAAGGCCACCGCCTGCAGTGCCAGCATTCCATGTGGGTGCCGGTTCGAGTCCTGGCTACTCCACTTCCCATCCAGCTCTCTGCCACAGCCTGGGAAAACAGTAGAAGATGGCCCAAGTCCTTGGGCCCCTGTACCTGCATGGGAAGACTTGGAGGAAGCACCAGGCTCCTGGCTTTGGATTGGCACAGCTCCGGCCGTTGCGGCCAACTGGGGAGTGAACCAGCAGATGGAAGACCTCTCTCTCTCTCTGCCTCTCCTTTTCTCTCCATGTAATGCTGACTTTCAAATAAATAAATAGATCTTTAGAAAAAAAAACAACAACAATATAAGCTTTTATAATGTGGAATTTTCTACCTGTTGGGTCATGGCAATGTTCAAAGAGTTTTGGATTTTGAAGCATTTTGGATTTCAAGTTTTTATACTAGGGATGCTCAATGTGTAAAAGAATGTGTCAAAAAGATATCATGAATGTGGTTTTTTCAGATGTTTTTAATGTTTATTTAGCTCATTTGAAAAGCAGGTATTGAGAGGCAGAGAGAGAGAGGCATAGAGAGAGAGAGAAAGATCAATCTTACAGTCACCAATTCTACTAGTTCACTCCCCAAATCCCCATAACAGCTGGGGCTACACCCAGTAGAAGCAGAGAGCCTAGAATTCCAGCTGGGTCTCCCATACGAGTGACAAGAACTCAGGTACTTGAGTCATCACCTGCTGCCTCTCAGGGTGCACATTAGCAGGAAGCTGGATCAGAAGCAGAGTGGGGACAAAGAATCAGACTCTCAGATATGAAAGGAAGGCATCCCAAGGGGCATCTTAATCGCTGCACCATGATATTGACCCAAATATTATGAATGCCCAAACCAGAATGTGGGAAACTTTATAGGACACGTAACTAGGCTTATTCTACATGTAGATTGCATGGGAAAAAAAAAGAAAGAAATGGGTGAAGAGGAGATGCTGTTATAATGTAAGTCTTATATAAGACTTAGGAGACATATCAACTTAATATTATGTATGGACTTTGTGTGGATTCAGATACAAAAAAAATCAGCTCTAAGGATTATTGTTAAATTCACTGGAAGTACCACAGATTTACTTGTCAAAGCATAAAACAAAAGGAAAGAAATGCCTGTGTGTATAAGTTTTGCTGCAAAAACTGTTAACTGTTTTGTCAAATTCTGTTTTAGATCTTAGTTAAAAAAAATTGTTAAGAATTATATACTAGTATAGCTTTAAAAAAAATTTACTTCTTTATTTGAAAGGCAGAGTGACAGAAAGGGAGAGGGAGAGAAGAGACAGAGAGAGATTCCTTCCATCTACTGGTTCACTCTGCAAATGGCCACAACAGCCAGGGCTGGGCCAGGCTGAAGCCAGGAGCCAGAAATTCCATCAGGTCTCCCATGTGGGTGGCATGGACCCAAGTACTTGGATCATCTTTTGCTACTTTCCCAGGCACATTAGCAGGGAGCTGATCAGAAGCAGAGTGGCCAAGACTTGAACCGGCACTCCAATATGGGATGCCAGCAATGCCAAAGTACCAGCCCCAACTTCACTAGAGTTATAATAGCATTTTTCAAAAGATTAAAAGCATATAACTATTAAGAGATATTCATATACACTAACATACAAGTATTTAGGGAAGAGTGGATACAATGTTTAGGATTTCCTTTAAAATATTATAGTCTCAGGCTGGCGCTGCGGCAAAGTGGGTAAAGCTGCCACCTGCAGCGCCAGCATTCCATATGAGTGCTGGTTTGAGTCCTAGCTGCTCCACTTCCAATCCAGCTCTCTGCTATGGCCTGGGAAAGCAGCAGAAGATGGTCCAAGTGCTTGGGCCCCTGAACCCGTGTGGGAGACCCAGAGGAAGCTCCTGGCTTCAGATTGGTGCAGCTCTGGCCATTGTGGCCATCTGGAGAGTAAACCAGCAGATGGGGTACATTTCTCTCTGTCTGCCTCTGCCTCTCTGTAGCTCTGCCTTTCAAATAAATAAATAAATAAATCTTATAAAAAATGTTATAATCTCTTCTACAAAGTAGGAAAGGGAACATATGATGGGCAAAATGCTTACATTAGGTCATGCCAACTGGTATTCACTATAGTCTTCCTTGTTATTTTATGTGGAAAACTTGTGTAATAAAAAATGTTTAAGAAAATAACATGTCAATAGGATAAAGTAAATCAAGTGTTACATGCAAATTGACTATCTGAATAAACTACTGTTTTTAATTGTACATATGAAATGGAGACTAAAATTTTTCAGAAATATGAGGCGGTATACAAAATTATGAATACATCCTATTGTATCTTCAAATATAAACACCCAATCTCTTTTAAATTCTGACAGGCCAGCAGTACATTTTATTCCTTCACTATCTGCTCTATTCTAGTGCCAAGAGTACCCAGCTTACAAGACACTCACACTGGCTCCTACAAATAATTCTATTCTTCATGAAAGTACCCACACACATTTATGCACATTAAAACATTAAATGACTAGAAGTTTACAAGTCTTAACTTCTAATAATGTTAGTTTTTAAAGGTTACAGAGAGGCAAGTATTTATCTAGAGAGGGTAAGACACTGAGACACTGTCAGTATCCCGTATCAAAGGGCCTGGGTTCAATGTCTGGCTCTGGTTCCTGACTTCAGCTTCCTGCTAGCCAAAACTCTGGGGAGGTAGTAGGACGAGTATTTGATTCCTGAGTAAGATATCATTTGGGAGTACCTCTATATAATTTTTTTTAAAGATTAAAGGTCACAGAAAACAATTATGACTTACAGAATCTTGAAAGTGTTAGAAAAAAGAATCTTACCAAAATCATCTTCAACTCCATCATAAAACTCATTAGGTCAGGAGAGTGCTGCATTCTCTAGATCAAACATGTATTTCCAATTAATTTCATGGAGTACAATGAATAGTCTACTCACTATACTAAAATAAAATACATGCCTAAGTGAATATGAAAAACAATGAAGCAATATTTACATCCAAAAAGTATGACATGAAGTATCATCATTCCGCTATTCCTACAAATTTCCTTTTGCAGGAATAAAAGCACTCAAAAGTATTTCTAGTGAGATATAAGTATTTTTTGTTCTAGTACTATTGGTTGAACTCTTTAATTAACACACAATTATTCTTAGGCATTTAAATTTTAACTGAAAAGTGATCCCTGTTAAATATAAGAGTGGGAATAAGAGAGGGAGGAGATGTACAATTTGGGACATGCTCAATCAGACTTGCCCCAAATGGTGGAGTTAGAATCATGCCAGGGGATTCCAATACAATCCCATCAAGGTGGCATGTACCAATCCATCTCACTAGTCCAAGTGATCAACTTCAGTTCACAATTGATCACACTGATAGGTCTAAGAGTCAAAGGGATCACACAAACAAGACTAGTGTCTGCAAATACTAACTGATAGAATCAAAAAGGGAGAGAACAATCCAACATGGGTAGCGGGATACACAGCAGACTCATAGAATGGCAGATGTCCTAAACAGCACTCTGGCCTCAGAATCAGCCCTTAAGGCATTCGGATCTGACTGAAGAGCCCATGAGAGTATTTTAGGCATGGAAAGCCAAGACACTCTGGGAAAAAATAAATAAATAAATAAATAAATAAATAAATACAAACACCTAAATGGAAGATCTCTGCGAGTGAGATCCCAGTGGAAAGAACGGGTCATCAAAGAAGGAGGTACCTTTCTCTGAAGGGAGAACTTCCACTTTGACTATGACACTGTAGGAATAAGATCAAAGTCGGCGAACCCAAAAGGCTTCCATAGCCTTGGCAACTCATGACTAGAGCCTAAGGAGATTACTGACGCCATAAACAAGAGTGTCAAATTGTTAAGTCAACAACAGGAGTCACTGTGTACTTACTTCTTATGTGGGATCTGTCCTTCATGTGTTGTCCAATGTGAAGCAATGCTATAACTAGTACTAAAACAGTTTTTTACACTTTGTGTTTCTGTGTGGGTGCAAACTGATGACATCTTTACTTAATATATACAGAATTGATCTTCTGTATATAAAGATAATTGAAAATGAATCTTGATGGGAATGGAATGGGAGAAGGAGCGGGAGATGGGAGGGGTGCGAGTGGGAGGGAAATTATGGGGGTGGGGAGCCAATGTAATCCATGAACTGTACTTTGGAAATTTATATTTACTAAAGAAAAAAAAAAAAGAAAGAAATCAAAAAAAAAAAAAAAAAGAGAGAGAACTACACATACTCCTCTGTTCCTTCAGCACCATTTACTGTTAACTTTAATAGACCTAGAAAACATCATCATTACTAAAACAAAGAACTGGTTGGTATAGGAGCAACAGGATGTGCAGGAAAAGCATAAATTTAGATTAATAAATTACTGATTATTATTAATCAACAATACCATCCATTTTGATTTTTCCCTTGATCTTAAGGACTACCAACAGTTGTTATTTTTGCCCTTTAACAATTAACCCACATTAATTCAAAAGCAGAGAATCATTCAATAAAGTAAAACCTGCTTTAACAAAATGGTAAATAGGAAATAGCCTCTAAAGTACAAAGAATAGTTAAGATTTATGGTTCCATATCCTAGAATCTTTCCTTCTTAAAATAACTAAAGAATAAAGAAAAAGCAAAGAAAGTTATCAAAGGGCCAGCGCTGTGGCATAGAGGATAAAGATAGATGTCTGCAGTGCTGGCATCTCATATGGGTGCTGGTTCAAGTTCCAACTGCTCCACCTCCTATCTAGGTCTCTGCTATGGCCTGGGAAAGCAGAAGAAGATGGCCCAAGTCCTTGGGCCCCTGCACCCTCTTGAGACCTAGAAGAAGCTCCTGGCTTCAGATGGGCCCAGCTCTGACCACTGCGGCCATTTGAGGAGTGAACCAGTGGATGGAAGCTCACACTCGCATTCTCTCTCTCTGCCTCTCTGTAACTCTGCCTTTCAAATAACAAATAAATAAATATTTTTTTAAAAAGTTATCGAGTTTTATACAGCTTTTTTAGACAGAATGCTATATCATTCCCCTGCTTAAAATTAGAATAACAAATTTGTGTTACATTCTGCAATACATTACATTAACACCATACAGTTCTGAACAGTCAGTATGTAAATAAATGAGAACAAGTAAGACTCTAAGATATTTCTGTACTATCTGAAGAGATACCATTCACATCATATAGCCTTGAGGGGGTGCATGTTTGTAGAACAAGTTTTGACTGTTCCTTCAAGATATTTTTCCCTTAGTTCACTACAAATAAGAAATTGTATCAAGGGTCTGTGACTTACAGCCTAGAGGCTAAATCCAACTCAATATTCATTTTTGTAAATAAAGTTTTATTAGAATGCAGCCATATACCTTCATTTACCATTTGTCTAAAATTGCTTTGGTGCTAAAAGAACAATAGTTGCAACAGACTTAAGGTTCACAAAGCCTAAAAAATTTACTACCCGGTCCTTTAAAGGAAAAAGTTTGTTGAACTCCTGGCCCATATTTACTAAAGGGAAAACAGTAATATTTAATTCACCTTTGGAAAAAAAACAAATCCCGAGTCTACCTGACCAACTAGAAGGTGGGGGAGATAAGTTATTAGGACTTTTCTAGGAATCCTGTTGATGATGAATTGGTGGAGGAGAGCAAAGTCATAGATCTTACTATCATACCTAATATTTATTAACAAATGTTTTCAGGCTATTTAAATATCTCATTAGATTTACTTCTTAAGTTTGATGTACAATCTAAATAGTCAGAAATGAGTTGGGGTAGAAATAATTTAAACATCCCCTACAAAAACTGTAATTAAAATGCTAGGATGACAGCCTACACTCTACAGATCGTTTATCTCCGACATGTCTTTGCTGCTTAGTAATACTGTGAGTGACTTTCATAGTCAGTTATAGATACCCTGCCTTGACAAGAGAGAAAACACAGAAAGATAAAACACAGAAACAAATAAAGCAAATGAAATGCAATTCTGTTAGTATGCATTTTTCTACAAGTCATTTCATTATTTTCAGCTCCTTCAGTAACTGATTTTTTCCAGTTCTCTAATCTTTAGAGAACTTTTCAAGTAGACAATCCTAAACCTAAGAATAACTAAATTATTTCTGCCTATGTCACACCTGAGCTATCTTTATCTTTTCTCATTATGCAAGTATGCATGATTTTTAAGTGATTTCCATCATACCTTTTCTGTTGCTAATCTAGAGCTAAAACCCCATTTTTGCCACAGATTTGCTACAGCTCTTAATGGATGCAGATGCTTTTCTCCTGTAACAACTACTCAGTCTCATCAGAATAATCAATCAAGAAGTGATGGGTATGGATTAGGGTGAATGCATCCGAAGAAACTATGTCTCAAGGATGTAAATCAGTTTCAATACAAATGCCACCTAGAGCTCTGCTGAGGACTCTAAGAAAACATTTTCTATAATACATAGATCCTTAAAACATTGGATAGGAAAGAGTTGAACCCTACAAAACTAATCAACTAGTAAACATGTTTGTTTAAACATCCTACAAAGCAGGTCTTCAAGGAAGCATAAACTGAGTAATTGATTATCCTCACTTGAAACAAACATTTTAAAGGATTTAAAGGACTTACCTGTTGGACTATTTGATGGTATCCATTAAGTATAGTTTTCAGCTGCCAACTGCATAGTAATCTAAAATTTTAATGGAACAAATGGTTTATTATTCAGCATTAAAAGAGGAAAATTTATTTACATGTTTACACAAATACACATATATACAAAAATGACATAAACCAAATTCTGATGTTAATAAATTTTTTTACCATGTTTACTATTTAAAATCTTGGCTTCAAACTATTGGTACCAATTTTCCCTCAAATATAAATTACTAGAATTGGTAAATGACATGCAGTTTATCTTTTTTCCTTTAACATATCCAAAGCAAAGTTTTCTATTTAACTGGATTCTTTTGCAAGGTAGTTTAACTAACACAGTATTGATCAAAATGTGTCAAACTTCTATTTGAAAAACTATATATGGCAATACAATCTTCAAAAAAGATATAAACTTTTAACCGTGTAGGTACTAATTAGTCAAAGTTCATCCATCCATTAGGTCATTCTAGGTGTAGGATGTCTGAAACTTCCTGACCCTTGCCTTCTCAAACCACCGTAAGTTTCTCCATTCTTGGTCTACTAATCCCAAGATACTCCATTACCACCTCTATCAGTGGCAAAGTAGTCACATCCAGCTGTCCACGGGTGACCCCTCTCCTAATGCTACCAACCTGGCAACTTTGATCAATCATCCATTTTCTGTGCTATCTTTAACAAATGTTCTGCTCTTTTCTTCTTCTTAATGAATTAACTTGCAGTTACTTATCACCTTAAAAAAATTAACTCTTCCTTGAGTTCACATCCTTCTCTAGCCACTTTCAGGGAAAGCCCTTAACGTTGTTGATACTGTTTCCATTTCCTTTCTACCCAATGATTCAGTCCAAAACCCAACCCAATCTAGCTTCTACCACTGCACAAAAGCTATTCAGATCTGACTGGATCTCTCTGCAACACCCAGTACTGCTCACCATACACTTCTTAAAACTTTATCTGGCTTCAGAGTCACTACTGTAGAAAATTTCCCCTTACTTTTCTGGTAATCCTCATTCTAAGTTGCCCTATATTTACCACTCCTTTAAACGTTGGTATGCCTTCAAGGTCCTGTCACTGGATGCTCTCTTCACTTCACAGATAAAAGAGGTACTGGAAAGTCTAATCAAACTCATGGCCTCAAATCCTATGCCTACCGTGACTTTCCCATACAACCCCACTCCAGTCTCACACTTGAGTTGCGCATCAATACATCACCACCTAGCAACTAACTTCTCCTGGTACTTCACACTCAGTACTTCCTAAGACATTCTACTTCTCCTTCTGCAAGTCCTTCTCTAAATTAGTGACCTGAGCCAGGGACTTAGATACCATCTGCCATTTCTCTTTCCCTCTTATCTATACTTCTGATCAGCCATGAAATCAATTCCATTTATAAATATCTGGATTCCTTCTCTTCCTCAACGCCAAGATATTTAGGAGCAGAGATGAGGTTGTGTGTGAGACCTAGATTTTAAGTCTCACGTCCTGACTGTCTCTGCCAACATTCAATGTTGGTTCTTAATTTATACCAGGACTAAGTTGGTAACATGGGTCTTCCCATAAAATGAACATATACATACATATATGCTAACACTAACAGTAAAAAGATGAGGGAACAAGTCTTCTAATCCTTTTGTATTTTTATACCCTGTTCAGTACTTGTTATGAAAGTATACATAATTACTATTTGTGACACAAAGTGAAAACAAAATTAGAGAGTCAATGCTACTTTTGAAAAACACATTAGCACATGAAAAATTTTACAAATGACACACTGTTAGTAATAAAAAATCAGAACTATTTCTGGTTGAGTGAATTAATAAGCCATTTAGGCAAAACTCTAGTGACAAGAATCATTTTATACCAAATTGACTGCCCATCCCATTAAGAAAAATACATAACTAAAAGTCATGTCACCTTGCATTCTTCATTTGCAAATCTTCAGGCAACAATATTCTAAGGTGGAAGTCTCTTCCCTAAGGAAAATATTGAGAAATTCACTCAAGTTTTCATCTTAACGCTAAGAGAAGTTAAATATAGAATCACATAGAAAAGGCAGTATTTTTCTTTATTTTCTAAAAAGTATCAAATGTATCCAAATTTTTACAGTTGTTAAAATACAAGCAGTAGAATATGGCATTTGAGGAAAAATAACATAAAAATATGTCAGGAACTTTAAATTATTTAGAAAACAAAACACAAATATAGAACCGTAAAGGTTTATCAACACAAAGTTCCTCATATGAACACAAGAAACACTGTAAAAATCATTAATAGACACCTATAGAAGAAATGTACATATTATTTCTTAGGATAAACTCCCAAAAAAGAAAATTCTTTCAAATTGCTTTGGATATGGGAGGGTTGGGGAATCACAATATAAAACAAAAACAAGTAATGCATTAAAGAACTCATGTATCAAACTTCTAAATTTGAACAAAATGAAAATATATTCAGTTATAAATATACTGACATTGTTTCTCCCATATTTGTGAAATCAATAAAATTAGTAACATATTTACTTAGTTTTAAACACTCATTGGCTACACATTTAAATATTCAGAATTTTATTCAAGAGTCTAAGGAAAGACTTTTCTCTGAAAAATACATCGTTTTACTTTCTTTGGAAAATAAGTGGGCAAGCAGTTTAAACTCTAACTTAAATAGGCTAATACATGTGAAATTTGAGCAAAAATAAGCAGAAAAAGGCAAACAGAAATGTAATCTTTTACTCCAACAATATAAAATGAAAAAGAGTAATAAAATTCTTGAAAAATAATTACCATGTGGAATTTTAGCTCAGTCTCCCTCAAAGCACTTTCAAAAACAGAGGAACACAATTAAATGTACCCCATAACCTTTACTTTCAATGTAATATTACAGTTCTGACTTTCATTAAATTTAAATGTCCTTTAAAAAAAATGAAACAAAGTGTACTACTGACCTTTCAAAAGGTCAAGTAACAATAATTCACTATTTCATTAAAGCATTTAGAGGTATTATGTAGTAACTTCAGCCTAACTTTATAGACATCCCACACATAGGTATAAGAACAATGTATAATCCACAATTTACATGAAGAATAGAACTATTCAACTGTAGAAATGCACATTATCTCAAAAAATAAAATTCCAAGGTCCTTATTTGCAAAATTTAGTCATTTTAAAAGGTCAAATGTCATGCTGTATGCCACAATAGTTTCCGATTTCAGAAAATGTTGAAAATTAGCTTGTGTACTTAAAACACCTAAGAAACAGTAACTGTTATCAAAATGCAAATTTCCCAGAACTGCAGGGAAGAGAAGTACTGACCATTGCCTAAATCTGAATCTTCTCACATACTCAAAAAACTAAGTAATTGTTAAGAATAAATAAAACCACAAAAAAAAATCCCACATTTTCAATCAAAGAATACAAAAACTTCCAACTACCTAAAGGAAACAGAAACCACTTTGCAGTAGAGCCCACTCTCAGCTCTCAGAGTCCTTTAAGAATGCTGGGGTGTTCAGGAAACAACTGCTTGGAAGACAGAATGCAGGGAGGGGAGAACTGGACTAACTTAAAAAAAAAAACCTGGTACATCAGAGCACGACTAGAGGAGATTTAATGTAACACAAAAGTCAAGCAGTCAATCTCAGAAAGGAACTATTTTAGGGGTAGAAGATGATAAAAAGGCAAAAAGGCAGGTAGGAACACTTTTTGCAAACTAGGTGCTAAGAAGAAAAAGATTATGAAGAAAGGCAGGGTCTTACATGAGAAAACACTCCTGGACCCAGCAGTCTCCAAAAATTTCCATATTAAAGAAACTGCACTTTGCTTCACCAACAGAAGAGGGTATTCTTGAACTAGGAATTTTATAAACAAACAGCTAAAATGTTCACAGATACTGCCTTGACAATGCAAAGCTCCTATGATACAAAAATAGAAAGAAACAAACCCCTTTAGGTGATGACAGACCCCAAAGAAAACTAAGTCACAGACAAATTATAATAGTGAATTAAACATCACTAAGTAAGCATTTGTACAAAAATTCAGAAATTCAAAAACGGAGATATGAAATTATTTTTTAAAAAAGGAAGAAATGAATGAGCTCAAAAAAGGGAAAGGAAATGAAGAAAAAGACAAAACTATATTAAAATTGAAGAATAAATTTTTAAGAGAACCTAAAGGAAAACATGGTTAAACAAGAATTTCCTAAGGGGCAAAGGAAAAAAAGTAACTAAATAAAAAATGAAAAAGAAAAATGAAAGACCATCAGAGAAAAAAGCAGTTGAAGTGGAAAAGAAGCAAAGAAAGTACAATATACATGCAACTGGAGACCTTTAAAAATAGTAAAAAATAATAGAGAAGAATATTTACAAATACAACCCAAGTATATGTTCTGGAAATCCACATAAGGTAAAACTGGACACATGAGAATGAAAATTTCAAGAAAATAAAAACTTCCACTTCCAAGCATGATGGAGTACCAGACAAAGGATCTGTCCTCCTCCAGTAACTTAACAATTAGAAAAAGCAGGAAGTGTTTAGTCTAACAGGACACGGGTTGGGACAATCGCATCTTATGTCACTAGTACCTGGCTCTGGCTCCTGACTCCAACTACCTGGTGGTGCAGAAAAAGAAGCACTGGTGATAGATCCAAGTATTTGGGTTCCTGCTACCCACGTGGGAGGCCTGAACTGAACTTTTAGCTGCTGGCTTAAGCCTAACCCAGGCCTGACCATTGTGGGCACCTGGAGAATTGGCCAGAGATGGGAGAGCCTTCTTCAGCTTTCTCTCTGCCTCTCAAACAAGAGCCATTAAATAATCTGAGGGGTATTGTCCTACTGGTAGAATCAAATTAACCCAGACTAAAGTGATCTCTAACTCTGCCTAAAAAAAAGCTGAAAAGCAAACCAAGAAAAGATCTAACTGCTCCTACATAATTTAACTGCAACTCACAACAAACCTCAAAAATATCTGGAAAATAAAAATATCTAGCATGCAACAGGTAGAATTCACATCAGGTATCCAGTGATATATGTGGCATGCAAAGAAAACAAGACACATAATGAGGAGAAAAATAAGAGAAAGTTACAAAAATGGCACAGATGACAGAATTGACTTAAAATTAATTTCTGGGCCAACGCCGCGGCTCAATAGGCTAATCCTCCACCTGCGGCACCAGCACACCGGGTTCTAGTCCAGGTCAGGGCGCCGGATTCTGTCCCGGTTGCCACTCTTTCAGGCCAGCCCTCTGCTGTGGCCCGGGAGTGCAGTGGAGGATGGCCCAAGTTCTTGCGTCCCTGCACCCCCTGGGAGACCAGGAGAAACACCTGGCTCCTGGCTTCGGATCAGTGCAGTGCACCGGCTGCAGCGGCCATTGGGGGGTGAACCAACGGAAAAGGAAGATCTTTCTGTCTCTCTCACTGTCCACTCTGTCAAAAAGTTTAAAAAAATGAAGAAAAATACACCAAGGTATGACACAATCAAACTGACTGAAACCAGTAATACAAGAAAAATCTTAAGAGCAGCCAGGGGAAAATATACTATTTATAAAGTGACCAAGATAAGAAAAAGTAGAGATTTCTCAGAGCAAACAGCAAGACAGTTGAACAACATCTTTTAAGTACCAAAACAAATCAAAACAAAACAAACCTGTCAACCTAGATTTTTAACCAGTGAAATTATCTTTCAAAAGGACAAATAAACACTTTTTTAAACATAAATCATCTGAAAGAATTCATCACTAGTAGACATGCAGTACAGGAAATGTCCAAGTAAGACCTTTAAGAAGAAATGTGAATATGCAACAAAGACTACCAGACACAGTAAATTTACAGATAAACATGAAGTACCTCCTTTATTTTTTAAACTATTTTTAAAGGATAAATGTACCAAAGCAATCACAACAATACAGTAGTACTGCATCAAAACCCAGAGTATAAAATATCCATGAGATCATATTAATAGAAATCAATGACTGAACTAGTAAATGGAGGAAGACAAACAAATCTCCCATGCAGTAAAATTTCAAATAAACTATAGATTTTCCCCTGAGGGAAAAGAGCTCTAACTCCCAATGCTAAGCGACGGCTACTCACAGTGACATCCTTCCAAAGGGTATAGTGAGAAAGGGAAGTGGAAAAGCCTAACAAATACAACTTCAGCCAAGTAATCAGTATCAACAGTCATAAGTGATACTGTTAAACTGTACACTTAATGTAATGAAAGGGCACTTGGTGATAATTCTCCCAAAAGCCCATAAGCCCAACCTAATCATTAGAAAAATATCAAATTCCAATGAAGGAGTATCCTACAATATACCTGACTAGCACTCCTTAATAACAGGATTATTTCATAATGATAACAATAAGGCATCAAAAACAAGGAAAGTGTGAGGAACTGTCACAGTTAAGAGAAGCCTAAAGACACATGACAACTCGATGTAATATAGCATCTTGGATGGATTCCCAGAACAGAAAAAAGACACAAGGTCAACCTAAGGAAATATTACTAAAGGAAGGACCTTAGGTAATAGTAATGTACCAATATTTGTTCAACAAATATATCAAAATAATGTTAAGATGTTAATAACAGGGGTGGGGCCAGCATTGTGGCTCAACAGATTAAGTCACCACCTGCATGGCTGGCATTCCACATGAGCATGGGTTCAAGTCCCAACTTTCAAATAAATAATTAAATCTCAAAAAAAGGGGAACAAATTGTTCATGTGAGAAAAGGTAGAACACATGAGAACTCCCAATTTTTCTGTCAATCTAAAACTACTGTTAAGGCCGGCGCCGCGGCTCACTAGGCTAATCCTCCGCCTGTGGCGCCGGCACACCGGGTTCTAGTCCCGGTCGGGGCACCGGATTCTGTCCAGGTTGCCCCTCTTCCAGGCCAGCTCTCTGCTGTGGCCAGGGAGTGCAGTGGAGGATGGCCCAAGTACTTGGGCCCTGCACCCCATGGGAGACCAGGAGAAGCACCTGGCTCC